GAATAAAGTTCAGAAGGCAGGAGAGGCAGGGGAAGGGGAAGGAAGGTAAACTGTTCACAGGGAGGAAGTGGGCAGAATACTGCCCCATTGTGCCTGCAAAGTGGTCATGGTGTGTATCGGAAAAGGCAGAAAGAATGGCAACAGTAGCAAGCAACTGAAGATAAATACATGAGAGACAGAGCCTACACAACATGCAATTGCTCTGAAAGTTCTACCAATTTTTCCTTTACTTTTTGAAAAAGAGATCCCATCCTTCCCCAAAGAAAAAGGAAAGCCAGTACATGATAAGCATTTTCAGCCTCTTCTCATAGAATGTGAATCACTTACGCCAAAATTGGAAACGTAGACATTTACTGAATCTATTGGATTGGAGCATGGTTTGACATGGCTGTTCCCCTTTGTAAAGAGGTCATCTTGCTATTTTATCATAATCAGCACCTTTTTGCCAAGAATGTGAGTAGATGAATGCCCTGCTCAAGAGGTAAAGTGGTTCATCCTCCATTTCCTGGGTGAGTAACATTAGTGTCACTTTGACATCATTGGCGGTGGTTATTAGTTGATAGTTTTATGCAAAAATGTCAAGTGACACAATTGAAAACTGAGCATTTAGGATTAACTCGGGAATTCAAGGATGATTTAATACTAGGAAATCTGTCGCTACAAACAAGACAAGAAAAAAAATCCAACCCCCCACCCTTTATTTAAAATCAAGTGAACAAAACATTTCTTTGCAAATATTTGTATAATTTACTGAGAGGAACATACCAAAGGCCTACATCAAACTTAATGAAGAACATTAAAAGCATCCTCTTTAAAATCAGGACCAAGACCAGGACCCTCCACCATCACTCTTCAATTCAACACTCTACAATGCGCTGTAAAGTGTTGAAAATAATAGCCTACCCAAGCTCACAAAATTAATTACAGGTAGAGAATAAAGAAATGTACAAAACAAAGAAACAAAAAGCAACAACTCCAGAGTAATAGAATTAATAAGAAGAAATCAGTCAATCAGAAAACAGAGTAGCAGTAGACTGACAGATTAGTCCAGCTGACTCATGTGTATGGACTGTGTAGATGGCCTACTCTCTTCTTCTGGATACACTAAACCTGTCGCCATACAGTTGATTCCAACTCTTAGTGACCCTATAGGGCAGAGGAGGACTCCTGCATTGGGCTATCAAGGCAGTAAATCTTCACAGAACCAGACTGCCACATCATTCTCCCATTTCTCCTAAATAAGGAGAGTAAATATTGTAATTGTCAACACAAGTCTGTAAGCATGCTTAAATATGTGTAAACTGAACAACAACAAAAAAGTCTGAAAGAACATGCCAGTAAAATGTTAGCAGTGCTTTTCTCGAAATGGTGAGATTAACGGTAATATTACTTGCTGCTGTGTACTAGGGGGTAGCCCCCAAAACCTGAAATCGCACTGGGCAGAGCGGAGCTTTCGTAGTACATATCCCCCC